GCTGACTATATTTCACGTCGTCACGGTGGAGTACTGGGAAAGTTTTCAATTAGCAATACTTGTACCTTGGATAAACCTCATTGGCTACGGTACTGCTACTGTGCAAAGCTCTGCCCTATTCTCTATCTGAGTGGTGTTTGGTCTTTTAGAGCTCAGAGCGTTAGATGAATGGCAATTACACATAGGCACATCACCCAAATATTTGTATACTAGGGGCCTAGTGCACGAATTCGTGCACCTTGAAAGGAACTGTGGACTGCGAGGCTGCGGTGGGCGCAGGGGCAGGTCTCGGCCCATCCTCCACGCCCCCGCCCAGCCCCTGCTGCCATGGCCCCTATCTGCCAACAGTGGGGCTGGCGCCAGCAGCGGGTGCATGCAGGGCCGGAGTTGTCAGCAGGTGGGAGCGGTGGCTGCTACCCCAATTGCCCCTCAGGAGGAGGGAGAGGTAGAGAAGCCCTCAGGGGTGATCAGGGCCCGAAGCCGCTGCTTGCACCCACCGATGGCACCAAGTGATCGGGACTGGCACCGGGCAAAGAATTTTCAGTAACCACCAGAGGCTCGCCCCGATGACAGCAACCGGCATCCCACCTTGGTCTGGCACCCCTGCTCACCTGCTCCACCATCCCACCGTGGCCAACACTTGCCATGTTCCGCACATGCCCCCTGGTGGTCAGCGCACATCATAGTGACCGGTTGTTTGGTTGTTCTGGCTGTTCCACCATTTGGTCTATTTGCATATTAGCCTTTTATTATATAGGGTGACTTTGGGTGTCAGAGCCTTCCTGACGTTGATCTGACCCCTTCACCCCGGGTGGGGCGGGGGGTCCAGGGGGGAGGACCACTGAAATGAGTCCAGGAGAGTGGAAGATTGCAAACAAGACTGGCTTATTGTTGGGGTGGGAAGACCCATCTGGGGAGCCTCCGTCAAAGGCCTTGGGTCTCTGCCTCCTGTGAGACCCTCTGCCTGTCCAGAGCGCCCATCCCCGGGCTCCTCCTCAGCCAGGGGCTCCCCTCCTGGCAGCCTCCAGGTCACGTGACTCCAGCAGCTGCCAACCCCCTGGGCAATGCCAAGAGCCTCCTGGCCTCAAACGGGTTGGGTGACATTCACTTCCTGGCGCTGTCCTCCCGCCTGCAGTCCTCAG